TGCCTATGGCAGGGGGGTTGGAACTAGATAACCTTGAAAGTCCCTTCCAACCCATACCATTCTGTGATTTTATTATTCTATGATCTTAATCATCATCAATTTGGAATTCAGGATCCATTTGTTCAACATACAAAATTTTATCAAAAGTTGACGTTGTTATTTGGAAAAACAAAATAAAACAACAAAACCCACAATACTTAGTGAGGGAACATGGGCTTTTTAGTCATCTCATTCTAGTTAGTAAAGACTAGCTTGTGTTAGAGGAGATACACCCTGCTGTAGAGGCAAAATCATAAACCCTGTAGCCGAGAGGTTGCAATGAGTTCATTAGTTTAGTAAAATATATTAAGTAGATGATATCTGTGATGTTCCTGTACATATATCCACTAAGGTCAATGGAACTGGACTGCCACATGGTAATATTTAGGTGTCACAGGACTGTGGAAAGACAAATGATTACAGGGTGATTTTTATTTTGGTTTTAGTCCAATATAGAGAGAATTCAACATCTGCTTTTTGTCTCCATAACGGACTCCTACATATAACCTCTCCTGATTATATAACAAATATTAAAATAGGGAAGAAAAAAATACTAATATGCGTGCTTTGAAAGCAACAGGGAGACTGGGGGACAAAACAGCTACAGCCAACTGGGATGGGCAAGTCCCCCCAGTGCTTTTGTGGTAGTGAGTCTCTCACCAGCTGTGTGCAACGGACAGCCGTGACTTTGGAGCGTGTGTTTTTCTTATTTTGTTTGCCTGTGACAGATAGAGGATCCATCCGCAGCTTGAAGACGGGTGTTGGTGAGCTGCTTGGGGAAACCAGGTTCTGGCATGGCAAAGACTATTGCAACTTCGTCTTCAAGGACTGGGTTCAACTTGACAAACCTTTTGCTGGTAAGTGCCTTTGCACTCTGGAAGTCATTACGTTCCCTCAAACGTTCTTCCACATCTTTTCAGTCTCAAGCGGTGTTTTTTCATGCTTCTGAGCCAGAGGTAATGAAGCTATTTTGGTTTGGATGCTAGGAAGAAGCAGCAAAACTCCCTTTTGAGACATTCTAGGGCCAATTAAACTGTTACGGTCCATGGACTTGGATTGCGGGCAATCGCGTGATAAGTCTGAATTCATCCGCACAGCCCTTGGTGCCACGTCCCAGAAACTTCAGTTTAAGGAGGGAGTTGCCACATTTTTCCACGTTCATGTCCTTTGTCTGAGGAGGTCCAAACGTGCTTTCCTGTCCCGTAGACTTCATTGACAGATACACGACCCCGAGGATGCCCTGGCACGACATCTCCTCCGTGGTGCATGGCAAAGCGGCGCGTGATGTCGCCCGACACTTCATCCAGCGCTGGAATTTCACCAAGGTGGGATGCAGGCATTGCTGCTGGGGCACGGGAATAAATACACCCCTGCCTCATACGCGTGACTTCCCTAGGCATGCTTTTTTTTTGTTTTTTTTATGTTAACTCTGCTATGTTTCACTTTCCTAAAGGATTTTTTTCTTCTTTTTTTCCCTGGGCAGATCATGAAGCCTAAATACAGATCCCTGTCCTACCCATTCCTGTTGCCAAAATCTCAGCAAACTGCTAACGAGCTGAAGTATCAGGTGCCCGAGGCCGTTCATGCCACAGTCCAGGTGAGTGCTGATGGTCTCCTGCTCACCTACTCCCAAAAGAGCTTGTTTTGGATCTTTCCAGTAGGAAGTGTTGATGCCTGACAGACCCTCTGCAGAACTTGAAAATATAAAATGAAAAACTCTTTATTTAATTTAGCTCACAGCATAGTGATCAGATCCTCAATTACGATAAAATAATGCAACTCTTTCAGTAGAGATGAGCTAATTTATACTCCTGCTTTTGAGATAAGAGGCCCGAGCTGTACGCGGTACTCAAGTCATGGGAACACCATGACATTGTGTAGCTGCGTAATTTTTCTGGTTTGTTTTCTGCTGCTCTTCTTCTAACGCCTAACATTTGTGGTTTATGTTTTGGGGAGGCCTGATGGGTTGAGGTCACCCACTGAGTATTTATCCCAGATCTTGGAGCAGTCTACCTGACGCCTCTCTCAGGCGGGTGGTGGTCAGCTGGAGCCCACAACTAAGTGGAGTCTGGAGGCTATTGCTTTCTGCATTGAACTTCATCTGTGTTTTATTATGCAGTCGCTCAGCCCTGTGGGTCCTCTGCAGTTCTGCAGTCAGCCCACAGCCTCGTTTGTGATGAACTAGATGATCTTTAAGGTCCCTTCCAACCCAAACCATTCTACGATTCTATGATTGTCCTCACAATCATAATTGCCAGGATATCTGTATTTTAACCCTGTTAGCTATATTGGCTGCATATATTGAATACTATTGTTGACCAGCAGAAATACGTACTTGTTGAAGAACGTGAAGTCAAAATAGTTATGCTGAAGTAGCAAAACGATTGTGTGCCTCTGTGGATGAAAGATGGTATGAAGTAAGAGCAATTAGACCAAAACCAGGAAAAGTGCATGCCTTTGCTCTTCGTAAGGAGTGATCCACCCAGATGACAGCAATGCTTGGGGAGGCTTTGTGTAGTGAGATGCGTTTTAATTGGTTACGTTGGTTGCCAAGGCATTGTCCGCTCCTCCTCGTGTGGTGTAAGGGATGGCTCGCCAGCACGGGTGTCTTGGGTCATGGGTCTCGGGTGTTTTACATCAGTCTCCAAAACAACGCTGGCAGCTTGCTGAGAAATAGTCTCGCTTCAGACATTGTCATGCTTCCTCAGCTGTGTCTGTGACACCAGCTTTGTGGGAAGCTTTGTTTTCATGGAAGTGAGGGGGCTTGTGCCCCCAGAGCAAGTTCTAACCACAAGATGAGCCTCAATTTTTAAATCATGGGGTTTTGCTGTATAAAAAAGTTAAGCTCTACTGATTACAGAACTGGAAGCAGTTCCCAAAGGAAGAAACTGAGCTGAGCACAGTCTAGGTCCAGCTTTCCTTCAGTCCGTAGTGCAGAGCTGCTGGTTCAGGGCATCAGCCCGTGGGAGAGGAGGCTGAAGCTCAAAAGGTGACTGCTAAATGTCGCATACACCAATGCTGAGCGATGGGTGAGCTGTTTAAAAACTCGCCTCGTCACCACCTCGTTGGGGCATTGCAAGTGAGTGATAACGTTCCAGGAAACGAGGGGCTGTTCTCAGCGATGCCATAAACAACAAAAAGAGAGCAGGTTTTTCTTGTAAATTATTAATTTGAAACTACCATACTCATTTCTAATTTATATCCATTTGCAGCTTTTAGACACCTGTCAGGGTAGCCCAGCCCTGCATATAGCCAGATAAATAAAAGTATATGATATTAGGCTGAAAATACATTGCCCTGCAACGTCCTGGCCTTCCTGGTACGAGGGAAGGCTGTGAGGGAAGCATGTTTGCAGCACTGAGCGCAGTGGAAGCGGTGAGGGTGGCTGCTCTGCCCAGGCTGGTGCAGGTCCCTTGGCCTTGGGCTGCCTGCAGCTGGGCTATGATCTCTGGACGATCTCCTCCAGCTCCGAGGCATGATTTTGCACGCATGCACTGTAACTTTGGCTGTTGCCTCCATAATAATCACAGTGACCTGCTTTCTGTTGATCCCTGGAGGACACAAGTTCCCTGAGCATCCCTGAAGTCCCCGCCGTGGGTCAGCAAGTGGCTCAGGCTCTCCTCCTGATGAAGGTTTTGGGTTTGGGGAAAGGGGAGGACACTGGCAGCCTGGATCTGAACCCACCCCCTGTCCTGGCTGCCTTTTCCTGGGGCTCCCAGGGTGTGATCAAGGTTTTCCTGTGTGGCTCCTCCTTTCCTGCAGCCACAGGAATATCAGCCTCTTGCCTGTCCAAGATATTAGTTTGGGACCAGAGGGCTGCAGGTGCTCACGTCTCCTTTCAGGGGTACAGCCCAGTGCAGAAATAAGCAGATAACCCTAAAATCTTTCACTGACTTTTTTGTGCAGAAAAACTAGAGCAATATTGTTCTTCCTGATATTGAATCCTTCGGTTGCCCACCAGCCAAACCCACGTTGTCCCCGTTTTGGTGCTGTGTAGGGGCTTTATAGGCAGAAGTTCCTGCCCGGAGGTAAAATCCAGCATCTGGTGACTGTCCCTGGCTGTGGGGCGGTTTTCTTGTTTCTGAGCTTCTTTGCAAATCTGTTTTCAATTGTGGGCAGATCAGAGGAAGGGAAAACACAAAGGATCCATGGGGATTGCAGCGTTGCTGCGAGCCTGAGCCCCTGACCTGTCAGCAGCAGATTTTGACCATCTCGTACCATCTGGTTTTGCTCTCCTTTGTCAGAGGAGAGGAGCAGGAAAGTGTTTTTGGGAGGGTGGGGATGGCAGGACCGGCACTGAACAGGGGCTTTCCCCTGGGCAGGGCAGACGAATGCAGCGTGCACGGGGAATGATGTGGAGGTACAGGCTGGGAAGGAGGAAGGAGCCTGTTGGCTCCATGGCTTAGTCAGACATGTCTCTCGTCCTCTTTCGTTTGAACCTCTGGACTTTGCTCGCAGTAGCGATGCGATTGCACATCGATTTTTTTGCGAGAGCCGAACAGCCATCTGCCAAAGGCGGTGCCAGGTTTTTTTCCATCTCTCTATCTCCATTCCAGAGTTTGCAGTTATCAGCCAAAGCCAGCGCTGCGAAAGATGTCAGGTGGTGAGGCAATATCCAGTTCCTGATGCAAACATGATGAAAATTTAATGCTCTGGCAATGGCTAATGCCCTTACCTCTTTGAAGTCTGCATGAGAGCTTGCATTGTGCGGGATTTATGCGCTAGCCCACAGCAAACATCAAATTTATTACTCTTGTATCAATCAAAGAAGTTAAAGGGATGACAAGCTTGGCTCAGCGCTGCTATTGAGAAACTTGAGGGAGAGGAGGAGGAGGAACATGGACACACCAGCTCTGGTGGGTAGGGGCTGTGCTGGGCAGCATGTTGCCTTTTCACCCTAGGGAAGTAGATTGGATTTATACCAGCTTGCTTTAAATACCTCAGCAGGAAAGGTGAGATGTCCAGAAGTGTGAGACGAAGCATCAGTTGATAAGGGAAGGCCCGTGTAGGAAACTTCAAGGTGTCTTTGAGTGCCACAGCCGCAGGTTGTACCTGGCACAAGCTTTTCGGGTGATGCTAAGCCAGTTTTTTAGGATGAGCAGTGATGTGTGGCTCTGGGAGCAGGGCAGAGGGATGATGGTGCTGTAACAGTGGGGTGTGTGGAGGGAGCTGGAGTGCTGGCGTGTGGAGAGGGGGAGAGGAAGGCAGGGAAGAGCAGGTGGATGATACCCTGGGAAGCCATGGGGCTGGAAAAAGATGGTCCTAGGAGATGATTGAGTCACATCAGGCAGCATCCCTGGTTTGGAATAAACTTGTCTCCTGGCATGTTGTCTTACAAAGCGAAGGGCTTTGGTGCTATCGAGCTTCCAATTCAGAAGAGGACGTTTATTCCTCATCCCCAGCAGTTTCAGCTATTGCTGCAGTAAATGAGGGTGTGGAAGTTCCTTTGTTCAATGCAGGGCTCGGCAGCGCATCTTGGAAGAGAGAAACGGCGCTTTGGAGCATGGACAAAGTTAACTAGCAAAAGAAACAAGGATTAAATATCAGTACTTTGTACACTAGGAAGGTACAATCTGCAGCTTTCCGAAGTGCGATTCCAGGCTGCATTTGCTGGAGGTCCCCAGCCCACAGGGATGTGCCTCAGGGCCCCAGGTTTTCACGGCAGCAGGACAAAAGGCGAGGAAGGGGCAGCGCGGCCGGGCGTCACCGGCTGTGCCAGTAAAGGTGAAAGGGCTGTGAGCTCCTGTCCAGGCTGTAGCCTGAGCTGTGTGTACGGAAGAATTAGCCTGCTTTCTACCCAGAAAAGCTGTTTTTTCTGTCCTTATTAATGCAAATGGGGGGGATTTTGTTCAGGAGCTCTGTCTGCCGTGGTGCTCGACTGGGTTTCAGCAGTGCCCAGCCTGGGGCAGGTGGGAGCGCGATGCGTTGGCTTTGCAAACCAAATAGGTGATTAAAAGCACATAGGCGCAAGTGGCATTGCCTGGTAGAGGTTTCTGTAAGCAAAGGGTGGCTGTTTGGGATGGCAGAGGCTGTGATGCCCCTTGCATACTGGCTGGATCCCTCACTCAAATGTCTGTGACCCTGATGTTCAGTTTGGCAGGATGCAGTGTTCCCTCTTGTTGGCCAAGCAAGCAGCAAGTTGCAGGATCTGGGTTTTGGTGACCTGTGGGAGAAAGCTCCTTCTGTCCGGGAATCAGCTCAAGAGTCGTGTGCCACCGCACAGCAATGCCCCTCGGTGCCACCTCCAGAGATGCTCTGGAGACGGGAGGATTGGTTTGGTTCAGGCACGCAGCACACGGACCAAAGGGCCAAATCCTTATTACTGGTATACTACTGGTAATTAATTAGCCCTTGAAAAAGTCCTCAGCCATGCCATGGCCAGCAACCTGCTTTCATTGCGGATGGTGATGACAATGTGACAGCAGAGCTCAGGGTCAGGGTATCGGGGACATTGTGGGGACAGGAGGAGTAACATGGATCAAAGCAGCAGCTGGACGTGGAAAATGAAAAGAAATCCATTGGAGGGATTTCCAGGGGAAAATGTGGTTGAGCCCTGGAAGAGATCAGGATTTTGCATGTACTGACACACACATTTCATGGATCCTCAGCGTTTGCATCTCGTCTGGTGTGTCACTGGCCCCGAGTGCTGGCATGATGGCTGTGTTGAGATATTTTAAGGCTATTGTTTCAATGTTTCTGTCTCGACATGACGTTTAAATACAGAGGCTAATCATGAGTAATTATTTCCCCTGAGCACGTACTCTGCCAACACTCAATTAAAAACTACGTTTCCATCCATGTTCCAGTGAGGACATAGCATGGTTGCTTCTCAACTCAGAGCGCAGGAGCAGGCGATGCTGCAGCATCCCTGGCTGTCTGGGTCGGGATGCTGCCTGCCGGGGAGATTGCTCAGCCTGGCTGAGAGCACCAACAGAGGTGGTTTCCCATATTGGTTTGGCTCTTTTGCACAAAAACTGCCGGAGGCAGGGGGAGAACATGCCCTGGGGATCTCGCAGTATCTACTTTAGAAGTGAATTTCCAGCAAAAATTAATAAATAAGTGTTGGCAAGTGAACTGCTGTGAGTTTTAGAAGTCCTATCATCACAAATTGGATGGCATGTGCAAGAATTTGGCAGAAGAAATAAATGACCTGGAATGCTCAAGGACAAAGACATGGCCTCCGTTATCAGACTGGCTGTATAATTATGTACCACCTGTTTGTGGGGAAACTGCATTGCCCCAGCTGGAGAGCAGCTTTAAAAGGTGCTGGAGAGGAGATCACCAGTTGGATGTGCACCCCTAAAGCTTGGAAATTTAGATTGTTTTAAAAGCAGTTTATCATAAGACCTTAAGCAAGAACGAGACATCTGTGTTGCTTCTATCACACCTAGAGCTGCTCAGGTGGGAGAGGGCCGTAACGCAGCAACGGGACAGGGCACTGATGTTTTTCATCAAAACATTATTAAGCATTAATGCTATTTTTGAGCATCTTTTCTCCTTGTTACAGATGCGGTATAAATGGTAAATGTTGCACGTATTACCTTATTTAGTGAAATCCTGACAGGGGAACAGTGCCAGGGAAGATCGTTGCCTCTGCAGTAATTTGGGTGCAATGCTGTGGTGTTCAGAATGGGATGGAGCTGAAGGTGTTAATCTCTTGCTTCCCAGGTGATCCGTTCTGCTGCTGACTGGTCGGCTGGCATTAAATATCACGAGGAGTCCATCCACAATGCCTACATCAGCGTGATACAGAACAGCAAACACTACATATACATAGAGGTGAGTGGCGATGGGGAGAGCAGGAGGGTCCCGCTGCTCTGGGCATGGCTTGCAGCCATCATGAGGGTAGTTCTTCTTCTTGAGGTTTGGTCTTCACTTTTTTTATGAATTTAGACATACATGGGTATTACTACAGCATCTGCTCTGAATTTTTGGGGCTGTTTCCATTGACTTCAGTGGTCTTTGGACGAGGCTGATGGGTACGTACCCTGACAGCCTCCTGACCACAAGATGGAAGAAAGTAGTCCTCTCCTTTATAAGCCTCTTTGCAAAATTGCCAGCAACTTTGATGGCCTATGCAATAGCCTTCCTGTCCCCTCCATGCCTTTCCCATGTCCCCTGTTCATGCCCAACCTCCTGCACACAGGGCTGGTGTTGCATCCGTACAGCCTGGAGCTGCAGGAATCTCCTGTGTTGGAGTGACTCTCAGCACTGGCTGAATGGAAATGCTTATTCTCCTCTTTTTTTCTTTTTTTTTTCTTTTTTTTTTTTTTTTTTGGCTCGGGTTTGATTTTTTTTTACAGGAA